GTCCTAACTTTCAGTCCAGTAGAAAAATGCCTCCAGGAAAAAGAGGAGGCAGGAATGGAAAAAAAATCTCGTTATTATAGACGGTTCTGTATAATTTCTTCCATATTTCTGTCTGCCAAGCTGGCTTTTGTTGCACCAGTGGTGCTTGTGTTTGAGGCGTTCTTGCTGCTGTTGTCGCTAAAACCATTTTGTTTCTTATCTGTGCTTGGAGACTGCTGCTTCTCCTTCTGTTTTTGTCCAAGATCTTTTTATTTTTAACAGAAATGAGACCAGAGATGTTTCTGCCATTGTAAAATCCTATTTTGTTGAATTTCCTGCTGTTTAAGATGGTGATTTTATGAGGAAAGGGAGCCAGAACTCAGAGTAAATATAGTTGCTAGCTAAGTCTACATGCACAAAAGACGTCACTGTGAAACAATTTATAGTCTCCGTACACATAACGTAAAAATAGGAAAAGTTAGGCACCTAATTATATAAGCCCAGTATTTTTTTTTTTACTCAGACATGTACATTACTACCAGTGCAATTATTGTATACCACAGACCACACACTTTACTTTTAAATATACCCTTTCTTGGAATGGCAGTCTTCTAATACTCTCTCAATATCCAATTGCCAATCCCTACCTGAGGGCCATCTTTTTGGCTGACATGCTGGGAACTGAACCAGGGACCTTCAGAGCTAAATATCTGAGCTACTCAAGCTTGAGCTAAAGCAAGCTAATGTTCTGTAACTGCTGAGATCTGCTGTGGTTTAGCACAGATATACACTCCCTAGGGGGGTTACATCATTCCTCTGATTAAAGGAATCTCATCTGGAGCATCTGAGGCTCATGGCAGTTCAAATCCCACATGAAACCCCATTTTAATTGTTCTGGGAACCTCCAGGGCTAAAAGACTGAGCTGCTAAATCTCTGAGGCTGAGCCTGTAACAGCTCGTATCCTCTGTGGACTAGCATAGAAGAGGACACTCACTAGCGGGTAACACCAATACTGTTAGTTCTGGATATTCGGTGGACCAACTGGGTCAACAGAAAACGCATGTAGGAGACTCAGCAAAAAAGTGTGTGTGCTCTAGTGTGGAGGAAATAATGTAAAAACATTAAATCTCATGTTTAAATGAATTCATTTAATCTGTAATTGTGTATATTTCAGAGTTCATGACAATTCAGTGAGCCCATTCACTGAGCTAAAGGATTGTGAAATCAAGCCCAGCACAACAGTGAGAGTGGGCTGCTGGAAGGAGGGTATGTGGAGGAGGGCAGAGTTACGCCTTGGAAGCATGACCTGTGATGAATAGTAGTTGTGGTAAAGTGTGTGTATGTGGATGAAGGAGTAGAATACCTGAACTATTCACTCCTGTTTTTATGACAGGGATGTTATATGAATAGCAACATAAACTATTGCACAACTAAGGTGTTTGAGTATGAATCTCCTAGGTTTTTTTAACGTCTCAGCTTCCTCCAGAAGTTAATGGTGAACCACTGGTGACTGTCAGAAATAACTCAGTAATGGATCTTGGAGATCTTCTTGTTAAAGACAATTGCCTGCAAGTTTTCATCTTTTACTTCACCTTTTAAGGGTTTAACTATGGGAGAAGAGAGAGAGATCAGGAAAGTGGCATATAAATTCCTCTGACAAACGAATCTTTATTGGGACAGCCTACTCAAGGGTGTGACAAATTTCCTAAGAGTATATGTTGAAAATATTGAATTGCTGCTTATTAAGTGAGCACGATTTATCCTATTCACTCAATGTGAGGGGGGACCTGGGTATAGCCAAAGATACAAGATATCAGGTATATTTAGGACATAGAAGTGATTCATATTAATATAAATATTACTCAAACTACTAATGCAAAAATTATGGACCTCAAGTCTGTAAGACAATATCTTGGCTAAACTAAATGAAGCCTAAACACTTAATATAAGCAACTAAGTAGTAAGTGACCCTGTATCACAAGATGTCACAAGGTAGCATGGTACATTAAGTAAGTGTTGCTAATCTGATGACATGTAACTTCAAAATACCTGTTTATTTCAGCTTTTGATATTTTAAGTTGGGGTGTCAGCAGATGTTCAACCACAATGGTGTCATGGTAACTAATTGGTGGATATGCTAATAAGCTTGAAGTAAATGGCCTAATTAGCTATGAGAGGAGACCATCTCATCATTAGCTGAGCGTGAAAGTGTAGACAATGAGAAGGGATTGAAACCTTCATAAATATATATGAATCCCTGTGGGCAACAGCAGAATGCCGGACGGGGGAACCCCTCGTCCCTCTGGTCTGGGTCCAGCTCGGGAAGGAGCCTCATGATTGTCTCACGAAGATGCAGCAACAGCTGCAGTATGGTGGTGTGGGGCCATCACCTGCCCTGGGGCAGCTCTGGCTCCATGCCACAAATAAGGGTCTGCAAGCAGAAAAACCTCACAAGAAAAAAGCTGCTGGGGTGTCCCAGGAAGCTGAGCACTCCAAAGCAGCACTGCAATGCCTTGCAAAATTCCTCAAGGGACAGCAAAGGCAGCTGCAGGAGCAGAGCAACGGGTGTTCAGGAGTGTCCCTCTCACCACGCGTCTCTGCAAAGGGCAGGCAGGCAGCACCCGGAAGGAAATGCTGCCCCCATGCCCTGGCAGAAGCAGTTCCGGGTGGCTTTCAATTTCGAAAGAGCGTCCAGCAGTCTGGACGCTCTTTTTCGAAAAAGCGGATCGATCTTTCGATCCGCGCATTGTAGTCTAGACGCGCTCTTTCGAAAGAAGCCTGCAGTCTAGACACAGCCTGTTCGCTAATTCGAACTAGTTTTTTAGTCTAGATCCGTTAGTTCAAATTAGCTTAGTTCGAATTAACTAATTCGAACTAAGTTAGTTCGAATTAACGTTGTAGTGTAGACGTACCCATAGCCTTACTGAGACTTGGGTACAACCCCTGTCTTTTTGCAGCATGGATCCAGTTCAAGCTGCAGACCCAAGTCGGAAGCTCTGCCACAGTGAGAATGGATGTGATAGAAATTGTAAACCCAGGTTCATGATGCAACATGGACTCTCAAGTCTGGGCTTGCAAATATCAGCACCACAAGCTCCACAGACCTGGGCTTACAATGGAGTATAGGCAACTCCCAATGCATCAGTTGCAGAGTCAGTTCCTGGGTCCCAGTGCTGAGCTGTTACCACAGGTCCCTTAGCCAGGACTCTCTGGTCTAGCAACAGGATCTGTCAGGACCATGGATGTGCCTGGACCACAGAGCCCAGGCATAGGGAGGGTGGGCCGTGGGGCAGGAGCAGCAGGAGGGGCCGGCGACTCAGCCAGGAGCCCCGTGTTGGGGACCTGTGTGGAGGGGCAAGGTGAGCCGCAGTAAGTTCTGGACCCTCCGGCTGTGGCAACCCCAGAGCTCTGACCACGGACCTCCAGCCCTGGCGGCAGCCTTGGAACTCCAGTCTGGGGAGCTCCAGCCAGGCATGCAGCAGTGGGGCAGAGCTTGAGCTCTAGCTGGGGCAGCAGGGCAGCATGGGCCATGTTGGGAGGAACCTCCCCTGGTCTGGCATATTCTCTCGTTTGGGACCAGTCAGGTACTACACTGATTTCTGGTCCCAAACTTCTTTAACAGGCATAATCTAAACACAACCTTGAGTTATCTCAAGAGCCTTTTTGTTTCCACTAATTCAGTCTTTCTGTATTTCTTACATTTTCCCCTCAACATTTCTTTGTATTGGTTATTGAGACATCTTATGAAATTTCACATACTTTTTACAGTTGAACCCATGATCTTCCAGGTAGATTTATAGGCCCAATTTCCACAACATTTCTGCCAGGAAAATTTTTAGTTTTCCAGCCAGCTCTTGATTATAAAGTGCTTTTTGTTCATAGCTCACAAAGGAGGGTAAATATCATTAAAACCAGTTTATGTATGAGGAAACTGAGGCACAATGAATTTAAATGATTTGCCAAAGATCACGCATTTCAGTGGCACAGTGTGAGGGGTTCAGGGTGCGATCACCCCCTCTCAGCCCGAGAGGGGGGGTCTGCGGACCCTCTCGGTCTCTCTTGGTCCCTTGTTGTACCCCGGGTTCCTGCTATGAGGCCCGAGTTCTTGGGTGCGATCACCCCCTCCCGGACGGAAGGGGGGGTCAGCGAACCCTAAGATAGTTACCTGTTCCTGCGGGGTGGGGCCGAAGCCCCTAGTCTGGGTTTTTCCCCCTCGCGGGGTTCTGACTTGCACTCCGCTATCGCTATGGTCGTTGGGAGCGGGATGCTCCTCTCGGAGAGGGAGGGGGACCCGGTCCCACCCTCTCTCCGGGTCCCAGCCCGGGGCCCTGAGCATCGGGGCTTGCTAGTGCCCCGGCGCGGTGGACGGGGGGTCACTCCCTCCATAATCCATCCACCCATGGATGCCAAAAGTGTCCTGCCCCGGGCTCCTTCCTCCCTTCTGGCGGCTCTTGGCGGCGCCGCCTCAAACCCCAGAACTTACGCTGGTTCGATCGCTCGGATCCGGGGTCGTCCGGGGGAAGTCGCCGGGGAGAGCGCCCTTAGCCGG